GTTCCTATAGTTGAGAAGTGAGCATGCTTTTTCACATGGACCCAACCTGCTTTCTAGGTGAGCCATCCAGACATGAATCTTCCATTCTCCTGTCTCCTTTTCTTCACAGGACCCTTTTGGAGAGAAGCGAGGTCACTTTGACTACCAGTCCCTCCTGATGCGTCTGGGTCTGATTCGTCAGAAAGTGCTGGAGAGGCTCCATAATGAGAATGCCGAAATGGACTCTGATAGCAGCTCGTCTGGGACAGAAACAGACCTGCATGGGAGCCTGAGGGTTTAGACCATGCTCCCTTCTTCCCTTCCCCCACTCAAGAGTCCCAGCAAAGTCCCTTCCCCCCACTCCAGGGACGGAGAGGCACTGTGTATCTCCCTCCAAGTGTGACATCATCCTGCAAGATGGCAAGAATCAAGCGAGCTCACATCCCAGGGTGTGGGAGTGGGGAGGCTGTTCCCCATCTGACCTCTTGGCTCCAAGCATCTGGTGCCATGTTCATCCCATATCAGGGGCCAAGCTACCTATACAGGAGCACATAGGGCAAGAGCCTCTGGCAAACAAAAACAACCAATACACCTCTCCACAGCCAGCTCCTGAGGGCTAGTTGGAAGACAGAAATTACAATTCTAAGAGGGAATGTACCCAAATGATTTATGGGACTATCTGGAAGGGAGCTTGGGGTGGGGGGCTGTCTGTGACACTTAAGCCGTTTGGGTGGTTGTCTGTCTGTCTGTCTATCTGCAGTCTTGAAGCAGGGCTTCCCACTGCCCTTTTCTTCCCCCTGCATTCCTCCATCATTTTTTCACAGGCTAGCATAATTTTGTTTTTCCTAATTTATAGTCACTGTTCTAGACAGACCAAAGAGAAAGAACAGTGGTGGTCTCTAGGCTGCTGATCAGTAAGCTTTACCTAGCACCTGAGCACCTTTCTTCCCTGAGCCCATTCCCTTATCTTTTCTAGATTTAAGACAGGAGGTAAATGTGACTGGGACTGAAGTAAGATCTTGGTGGAGCCTATACAGGCACTGTAAGAAGCTGAAGATACAATTTGTTCCCATAATCACTGATTTTAAAAGTTCCCGACACAGGCAGCTGCTGTGTATATGGGATTAGAGCCACTACATAGAATAGTCTCTTACAAATTTTCATAAATTCTAGTCACAATGAGGTGGTTTCTCTTGGGGGTGGGTTATGGGGGGGAGACTGATGCTAGCCCTATTGTATTTTCTTTGGCTGTCCTTGTGTGTTTTCACCCCAGCCTCTAGTCCCCCCCCCTTACTCCAAACCCCAGGGACTTGTGGAGAACAAGGGTAGCCAATGGCAGAAGAGGATTTGGGCTGGGACCCTGGAGACTCCTCCCCTTTTCCTCCTCTCCTCCCTCCCTCCCCCTTTCCTAGCTGCTCTTTGTCACTGGCTCTGATGGGTGTTTGCCTGGCTGTGTCGCTTCTCTATCTGTATTTAGCTGCAGTGATCCTTTAGCTGGTTGGCTCAGAAAAAATGTGCTTTAGGTGTCCTATAATACTGGGCATCAAGGGAATCTATTCTTCCCCTTTTGATGTGTTTTCCCGTACTTCCCAGATTCTTATTGTGTTATGGCTCCCAGTGGGGTATTGGTGATCCATGTGACGCAGGGCCTGTCAGTAAGTATCCAGCCACCTGTAATGGAGAGGATAACTTGTACCTGCCCTGCCCGCTGCTATGAAGGTGTCTGCCTTGTGGATCATGGGATTCCCCTGGGGGAAATTGGGGTGGGGGGCTCAAAGGAGAATGTCCTACTTGGGAGGGCAGGAAGCCAAGAAACTGGGCAGGGAATGGACTTGGGCAGTGGAAGCTTGGTTTTGGTACCTTAAAATTGGGCCTCTTCACACAGAGACCCAAAAAGGGGCTTTGCTTCCATTTTCCCTCTTCCATTCCTGGAGCCAGTCCAGGGCTTAGAATGCCCTTGGTCTGTAGGTCCAGTGTTGTCTGTCATCCATTTAAGTGTTCCCACTTTCAAGTGACAATCCTCTCCTTGGCCCTGCCATGGGCAGAGTATGTCTGGCATTGTGGCCTGACTTTTACGCCCTAATCTTGAGTTGAAGAAATATGCACAGGAGTCAAAGAGATGTCTTTATATCTGACTGTACATAAATGAAGTTTTTTTTTTTCTTTTTGGTGCAATAAAGTTTGTTTTGGCAGACGGAGGAAGCGCCTGTGGGTGTGGGAGGGTTTGTGTAAGGGAACAATGGGATTTCTCAACAAACATACCCCATTTGAGACTGAAACTATCAGGGAGTGTGAATGGGTGATGGATTGTCTGGAAGCGGAAAACCTAGATTACATAGTTAGGAAGGGAGTAGGATCAATGACTGGAGCTTCCCACCAGCTGAAAATGGAGGGATCTCTTGGTTTTGAGACTGGGGCTCCAGTGTACATGAGAAGGTCCAGTTAACCTCAGTCACTTTCAGGGTAATGATTCCTAAGTTTTGAGAAATAAACCTCCCAGGCCCTACAAGGACATGTACAGATGGGCTTAGATTACCAGGGAAAGGTTGTCAAAAATTTTTTTAAAGCTTTCTGGTACCTAACCAGTTTAGTATTCATATCATGAAGAGTTGAAGAACCTTAACCCTCTATTTTGTTTTGCATCCACTCAACACTGGACACCAGCAGCCAGTAAATCAAGAGATGTATTGCAGTGGGAAAGTCTGCTATCAACCTCTCCAAAGTGCTGAAAGACCAGTGATGTCAGTTTGAAGATAAGATGCTATGTAGCTTCAAGTTGGACAATAAGGATGACAAATAATGACTGAGTTGTGGTGCTGAAGAAGAGTATTGGCCATACCATAGACTGCCAAGAGAACAAATGGGTCTGTCCTGGAAAGGGTGAAACCAGGTTGCCCATTAGAAACAAGGATTTTGGAAGTCTGTCTCACATACTTCGGGTATGTTGCCAGGAGGGACCAGTCCCTGGAGAAAGAATCAAGCTTGGAAAGTTAAGTGGAAGAGAGAAGCCTCGGGATGGATTGACACAATGACTATAGCACTGGAGTCAGGTATGTCAGATGGTGAGGATGGCTCAGGCTAGGGCAAGGTTCAGGGCTGTTCATACGGTCACCATGAATTGAGTAGACTTAGTGGCATATAACCACCCTTTAAAGACCAAATTATTCTTTGATGTCTTTGGAAACCAGGTGTTTTTAATAAGGGAGGGCGTTTAGAATGAAATTCTTTTCAGGTAATAATTTTGAGGTAGTTAATGAGGCATTTAGGTCTTGAGGGGTGGTACAGCTGGTGGGGTGAGGCCCCCCTTTTCTTCCCCCTTTAGTTATATGGATTCCCAGTAGATGATAGTATGCCCTAAAAGTGGGATATGAGGACCCCACTATGCCAGAAGCAAAAAATGTTAGGTGGGCATTTATGTCCAGTGGGTCACAAAATGTTAAAACACTAGCTTCTTAGTTCATCACCTCTTATTTTCCTGTAAGAAGTTCTTCTTGCTGGCTGGCCATCTGTACAATGACCAGTGTCCCAACCAGCCCACAATGCAAAACAAGAGGGAAAGCATGGCTCTGGATTGAGTACACTTCAGTTCTTGCTTGCTGCTGCTGCAGCCAAGTAGCAACTGATTGTTGTTAGGTGCCGGTGAGTCAAGTACAATTCAGAATGACCCTATGAACAAAAGATCTGAACCCTGTTCTATCCTGTACCATCCTCACAATTCCTGACATACAAGAGCACATTGTGGCAGTTACATCAGTTCACTTGACTGAGGGTCTTCCTCTCCTTTGCAGACCCTCCACCCTTCCTAGCATCATGCCGCCCTCCAAGGAGTAGCCCCCCCTCCTAGCAACATGCCCAAAATATGTGAAGTCTCATCATTCTTACCTCCAAAGAGCACTCTGGCTACACCCTCTCCAAAACATTATTTGTTTTCTTGGCCGTCCATCAGATGTTCAGTGCTCTTCTACACCACCACAGCTCAGAGTCAATTCTTTTGTCATCCTTATTGTCCGGCTCTCAGATGCACAGTAGCAGTTGTTACTTAAATTCCTCATTTGTGAAGTTAAACCTATTTTATTGTTACACCTCAAGACCAACTCCACGCTGTCAGGTAGATTCTGACTCAGCAACCCTTCATTGGGCTTTTCCAAGACTAAATTTTAAAGGGAGATTGACCATCTTCAGAGACATTATGTATGCATAGCAACACCAGAGCTTCCTTGCTAATATAGCTGTAAAAACAAGAGGGATCTGGTGTAGGCAAGAAGGCTTGTAAGAAATTAAAATACAAAGTACGTTGATTACTCTGTATTTTCGAGTTGGAACTGACTCAACACCCCCAGCAGGTTTTCAGAGAGCAAATCGCACAAGAAGAGAATGCCCGTCTTTCTGTGTTGGAGCGGCTGGTGGATTTGAACCACTTGTCTTTGAATTGGCAATATGACTCCTTACCACTGAGCCATTAGAGTTCAATGTTACTGTTAAGAGTCTCCTTAAATCCCATTGTTTTTCCTCTAATCTAGCCATCATTTAACACTGACTTCTACTTCACGTCATACGTGTCATAACCATATAGATTCTACAGAGGAAGTGGCAAAATGCTGATTTGTAATGAACATTTTATAAGGAATGAGTGTGAATTAGAAGCTGTCATTTATGTTTCATGGCTATAAGGATACTAGACCAAGGACAGCCTACATTTTAGGCCCAGCTCTGGACTGGGCCTACCTGTCCTTGCCATCCTGCACGGTGCAAAAGATGAACTTGTAGATTGCCTAAAGAAGTCGTTTTTTAGGTATATATTATCTTCATCTTCTACTCAGGTTTTCTACTGGGTCAATGAGGTCTTCTCCAGTCAAGATGCAGTGTGAATGCACTTTTAAAAAAAAATGGGTAATGAGTACAGTACTGAAGGAAGAAAGCAAGCATGGAACTTTTTTTTTTAAAAAAACAAAAATTGTTCAGGTTTTATTCACCAAGAGCTTTTTCCTCTTTTCCCCGCCTGCTGACTCCCACACTCCCAGTCAGGGAAGGGATTCGCTGGCCTCCTCAGCTGTGATCTCCTGAGCATAGAGATCAGTGAAGAGAGCTGGCAGCCAGTAGTGTGCCTCCCCAGGAGCTTGCAAGTCCAACCAGGCCAGCCCTTCCTTCAGCAGATGCTCCTGGAGAGAAAAAGCAGGAAGCATGATAGGCGAAGGGGAGAATTCCCACAGACATATTAAGGAAGATAAGCAATCCCTAAACCTGTTTTGCTTTCGGGGAGATTTTCAAACTAATGCTTCTTGGGTGCTTTCACACATTTACACAACCAAACTAGGCTGATCTGGTCTTGTTCTTTGCCTGCAGTGTGAAAAATGCCAAGTTATTTGGTATGTGCTGTATTTTCCCTGACACAAACTAGTAATCTTGCTTTTGCTCTCTTTGATTTAACCTGGTAACTGACAAGACATATGGAAACCTTTGCAGAGATGTTAAGAAGACCATGTTTGTATAAGAATGTACTCCCAGCACATGGTGCTGAAAATGTGGCCCAGCTGGCTAGTGCTGCGCAGTATTGTTAGGCTGGTAATGATCCCCATTTTACAGATGAATTCTGTTATAGGACAGAGTAGAAGTGCCTCATGGGGTTTCTAAGGCTTTATTTAAAGCTTTACAGGTGCAGAATGCTACATATATTCCACAGATGGTGTGAAGGGTTCAAACTACTGACTCTCTTAATGACAGCATACTTAACCACTGAACAATCAGGGATCTTTACAACCTTTCATTAAAGTTATTAAATATATAGCTATACATCTACAGAATATAAACTAGAATACTTGATATGCTATTAAGATAATCTAATTATCCTAATTAGTGAGATCTTTCACTCCTTACTTCTTTCAGGACAAACTATATTAATACTCTGACCAGCAACTATAAGTGCAACATATCCAGGAAAGACAGCAGGTGATGTGGAGTCCCAGGAGCAATGGGAGCCTGTCTTATATACATGTCAGGATGATAAGCCTGCTTTTGTGAGTCCCACCTTCTCAGAGCCATCATCAGAAATGCTGAGGTTACTGTTAGTGTGACAATAATGCTCACGGCAATAGATAAATAAGGTTTTAGCTTCTGTAGTAACTATCCACCCATTTCCTTCTCCTAGGTTAAGCCCGTTTTTCTGGACCATTACAAAGTCACATACCAGCACTTGCCGCGCTCGCTCCGTCTCCCATTTAAGACTGGTTTTGATTTCACTGACAGTCACGTAGCCATGTTTCTTAGGAAAAAATAAGAATTGAGAGAGTTGAGCATATTACTTTCTCTTAGAACTCAGCATCCACCCAGGGACAAAAATTTATCAAGATAAGATACTGGACAATTTATTTAGAGAAGAAACTGCCTTTGAGCTAAGCCTAAGAAATTACAGAAAAAGAATGTTTAGAAGTTCCAATAAAGAGAGATGATTTCAGGTGACAGAGGTTCAGTCTTAAGAAGTGGGGGCCCAAAGGGTTGGGAGGGGAGAAAAGTGCAACAATGAATGAATGGAAATCTAAAGTCTCTGTAAATTTTTACCAAAATAATAAATTTAAATTTGAAAAAAAATTAAAAAATAAAAATGTGCAATAAGATTAAAAAAAAAAAGAAGTGGGGACCCTGGGTACTTAAGTACCAATCTCCTCAAAGAACTCTGGAGCATGGCAGGTGATAAGAAAGGTGATAAATTCATAATTGAAAACTTTCAGATACTCAGTTCTTGTCGTGCCCCACTCTACATATCCTCTAATGACAAAACCACTTTGGTTGGTTTAGTTTTACAGAACAAAATTAAGAAGAGAGGATGCCCTCAGTATGTGGTGAGGATTTGAGGTGGAAGGTGGTCTATGCCTAAGTCATACTGGGAAGCAAGAAAATGGCAAACTAGAATAAACATTTCAAAATCCATAAAATTTAAATCAAGAGACTATTTACTCAAGGAAATATCAGCTGTCTGTATGTCTGTCTACTCCACTATAGTATAAGTTCCTTGAGAGAGGGATCTATATCTTACTCATCTTTGTACCTCCACAGCCTAGCCTAGAGCTTTGCACGCTGGCTGATCAATAATGTCTGTTAAATAAGCACAGATCTGAGTAGTTCATCCTTAAGACCACCTGAGCAAAAGATGAATGACCGGAGAGTCAAAATCACTACACACACACACACACACACACTGACCGAAGAGTCAAAAATCACTACACACACACACACACTCTCTCTCTCTCTCTCAGAAGGCAAACCAGTACCTCTGCCAGCTGCAGCACCACAGTGTGATCCATATTGAGCTCAGCTGGAACAGACTGAATGAGGTAAGTGCCGCCCACAGGGATGATGCCGAAGCCAGTGCCAAGTGCCTTTAGTTTCTTGATAGCTCGAATCAGGTCGTCTCTGAGGTGAGAAAGAACTGCTTAAAAACTCTTAGGCAGACCAAACCTAACAATGATGCAAGTTCAGTTATGTCCTGGGCAAGACTCAAATGGCTACACTCAGTTATGTTAGTAAAAGGACAGGATTAAAGAACTCCAAATTGTGCCTGTATAGTCAAAGGTATACAAGTCAGGCTGTCTTATTCATAGAATGCAAACTACCCAGCTGAAGTGAAAATTATGCCTTACAGAGGCACAAGGAAATATGAAGGAGTGAAATGTATTCAGACATAAGTAACATTAACGATAGCAAACCAGACAATGCATGCCCATTCTAAAGAGAGCAACCCAATTACTTGGAAATACAAGCCAAACACTGCCAGATCTTCTGACTTTATCCAGAAGCTGAGAAGCTGGGCTTTTAAGTGAAATACTGATTTTTAGTTGACAATATACTCAAGTAAAAGAAAACCCATAAAACAGTACATGATCATTTATCTGTGCATACAGTTGCAAACTCTGCTAAAGTTCAAGAATGCACTGCCTATAAGAAGAAAGACATTTTCCCCCCTTCTGTGTGCCAATGAGTCGGATCCGACTGGCACAGAAGGAAACTGTCTATCCTCAAGTGGAGCATCTGGTGGGTTCGAACCACGCGCCTTTGGAATTGCAGCGCAGCTTCTTGCCACTAGGCCACCAGAGGTCCAAGAAGGAAACTTTTTTATGTAGATTGGAAAGACTTCTCCAACCCTCTAGAAAAGCAAATTAAATCCATTATAAATGCACCAATTTACCCTCTACAAAAAAATTAATGTGGAATGAGTATGGTTAGTAATCTTTTGTCATCACATTCGCACTGATTATTCCAGGTTTCCATGGATTCATACAAAGCTAGCTCCTTGGCACCTACATATAAATATCCTTAAAATGAAATTATAAAGTAAATAACCCCCCCTTCATCAAGTTGATTCTGTCTCAAAACCAGGTCAATTTCTATCTCATTGTATGACTCCTCCTTCTCCACAGTTATCTAGGTGCCTATCCCTTTGCTTCAAATAAGCTCAAGAGTGTATACAGCATGAACTATGTTAAAAATATACATATATACTTACATAAAAAAAAATCTGGAAATACACCAGTGTTTAACAACTGTGAGCTCTCAGTTGAGAAACAATGGGTGATTTTTTTTTTTTTTTTTTTTTTTACAATGGGTGATTTTTGTTTTCCTCTTTTTTTAATTTCTTGGTATTTTCAATGTTTTCTGAAATGAAAACTTTTTTTTAAGCTAGCCTAGACTTATAAAGAGGGATAATAGGGAAAAGAGTTCCATTTGATTTTTAAGAAGCCTTTCTATCACCCACAGGGTTAAAAGGTAAGACCTACTGGCTGACATCCTGGGCGAACTTGCCCCTTCCTTTTAACACTTGTTGATGTAGTTCCTCCAGAGTTATCAGACCTATTGGACAGGGGACAGAAAGCAAAGATTACCTTTATGGCTGAAACGACATAGGAAAATGGACAGTCATTTCTTTCCAGTAACCAGCAAGTAGCATATAGAGTTCTAGCTCCTAAATTCCTTCTTCTCTTTAAAAATAACTAGCTATACATAAGAAATAAGATCTGAGAGTCAGGAGGACATTTACTTGTCAGAATGAGACTTTTATTTTATTACTTGTGTGTGTGAGTGTACCGTCAAATCAGATCTGACTGGTACAGGAGGAGATTGTCCCTCCAGAATGAGACTTTTGAAAATGATTTTCAGAGACCATTTTGAAAAACTATAAATATTCTCGTACATTAAAGCTGTGTCCATTTTTATAGTCCATCATTTTTAACTAATTTTTAAGCTTTTCCCCCCCTCTTTTACTTTTTTAAAAATTTTATTTATTTTTGCTTTGTTTTCTTCCTCTTTCTTCTTAACTTCAATATAGAGTAACAGAACATTCAATTTACTTATTACTTAATGCCCATTTTTTCCCTCTTGTGTCAAGTCGGATCTGACTAGCACAGGAGGAGACTCTGCCCCTCCTTCTCCAGAGGAGCATCTGGTGGATTTGAACCATGTGCCTTTGTGACTACAGAGCAGCTTCTTGCCACTAGGCGACCAGAGCTCCATCATGCCCAATTTTGAGGTCATATTTTTGGTAACTATGACCTTAAGTTGGCACTGCTGTACATCAGAAAGGCAAGGCAAGATTAATGGGAAAATCACAACCAACACATAGTAGTAGAGCAAGGATAAAAGCCAATTTCCTACTTCCTAATATTTTCTGTAATGACTAGGCACTAGACCTTTTAGACTAAGTCTGTGGGAAATAGAAACAATCATTTAAAGCAATTCCATTGGCTACAGAGACCTGCCAAGGATTCAACTACATCAAATAACCAAATAACTAAGATGTACATACTTAGCTTCTAAGACTTCATAGGCCTGTACACTGTAAATTGGAAAGGACAATCTTTCAAGGTTTTCTCCTTTTTAGAGAAGTCCAAGCTCAGTTCACAAGATCTAGCCAACCATACCTCCATTTCGGTGCTTCAGGGCCAGGCACACTTCAATAATCTGGACACCCAGTTCATAATAGAAGTCCCCCACACCTAGCATTTCAGACCAAAATCCTTTTCCAGCTAAAAGACAGAAAAATAAAAACCAGGTTCCTCATTAATATATGTCCCTTCTTTCTTTATGAAGCTGGATTAAAACATCTGTCCTATGCAAAGTCTTCTCTAAGTCACTCTACTCCATCTGCTATGCAAGATCCTTGAAACACTTGGGGTTTTGCTAACACTTGCTAAGGAACAGGCTCAGATAGTTCCAAAGGGTCAGCAATCTAAAAATTACTTCCATATGGCTGAGATTGTACTAAATGACTACAGTTGATTTTTCCCACTTAATTTGGGCTCAGGATACTATAAAAATACTATTTCTGTCCCACAGAATACAGTGAAATATGTAACAGAAGATATGGCCTTTAAAAACCTAATAAAAGAAAGGTTATAAAGAAGTGGCATTAAAAAAATTCACTGAAGATAATATTCTATTGACTGCAAAGGGAGGGTCAGAAAGTAGTCATCGTAATAATAAACCTATGTATATGTAAATAAAAAAAGGTTTACCAATATGAGGAAAGTTTCTACAAAAATATAGTTAATGTTCCAATTATGGAACAAGACCAGGAGATGCCTACTTCCTTCTTCTGTTGGACAGCAAACTATTTTTATTGAAATTAATTTTCTTGTGCTAAAATTACATATTTTTCTGTGGGAAGAAAAAAAAAGTGCCAGGAAAAATTCTACTGAAGATCATGTACCACTCAGTCTACACTCCACCCTTTCCATCTTTCTCATCACACTGACTGCAGATGTAGACAGATGTCTTAGCCCTTCTACTAAAAACCAGTTATCAGTGGGTTGATTCTGACTCTCTTAAAAGACAACATTCTCTTGATCTCCCTGTAAGCACTTCTTTCAGAGTGTGCCCACATGGTGATGATGACCACCAGGTGAGCATCAATTTCTCAGAAACTATTTTGAGAATAATGGACTCCTAGAGAAAACTCCTTACAGGCCAAAGGATCCACCCCAATGGTGGCACACATGTCCTGGAACTGCACTCGGAACTCAGGATTCTTGCGGATCTCCTGCTTATGTTTGCTCGCAAACTCTTCCAGATTTGTCTTGAACATGTCCAACTGTTTCGACATCTACAGGATGGACAAGAAGTTAGGGCGGTCTGGCCCAGGCAGTAATCAGATAACAATAATAGGTCCCTGACCCCGGGGGGGCAAGAAAAAACTTCTGGCAGAGGTGAAATGTTGCATTGTGTCCACAAAGATAAAATACATTTTTTCTTATGTGTCTGTTCTAAAATCACGACACATCTAACAGTCAATGAACACATCTATTATGGTGCTTTTCTTTCTTTCTCTCCCCCAAAAAACTTACTAAATTGAATGTGCACGTAATAATCTATTTGTCTTAACGATGAGGGAAGAGAATACAGTGTCCACACTATGGAAATCTCCAAGTACAGAAAGGATGGGAGGGATCTGAAAGCTGACATGAATGAAGAACTCAGTGGTTGTTATGCTTTCTTTGAGGGTTCATTACAGATAAAGGATCCCTAGTAGGATGTCACTTACCAGATCTACCAGATTAGCATTCCAAACCATTTGGGGAATTTTCTGGCACTTTGTTTTTATTAACATAGTCTCTCTAGAAATTTAAATCCACCAGTGGCCCAATGCAGAAAGCTGAGCAATCTCCTCTTGTTCGATTTATAGCCTTGGAACCCCAATGAAGGGTTAGCTAAGAGTCAGTTCTGAGCTGTGAGTTGAGTTTATTTAGTTTATTCCTAACTTCTGCCTCATCAAAAGTAACCATTCCTGGTCCAACATTCCTTACCCTTTCTCACATAACATGATTAGAAAACTCCACATTACCTTTTTCAATTGGTTCCTGAATGCTATTTCCCAAAGGAGTAGGCTTCTGAAAAGTACCTGAAACTGACTCTTGGGAACCCAATATATGGTAGAACCCTGTTCCTTAGAATTATTCAGTAACTGATTTTAATAAGAAAACTGTGTGCAAGAATCACTCTCATCACTTACACTTTTCTGACAAGCACCTTCAGAAATGGGGGGGGTTGGGCAGGGAGAAAAGAGCAACAATGAATGAATGGAAATCCAAAGTTTCTGTAAACTTTCATTAATAATAATAAAAAATTAAAATTGGGCAATATGAGGCATTTAAAAGTCCCAAAAGACGTCAATCAAAGAACTCTACTACTTATAATTTTGTAATCTTGCATAAACTACTTAACACTTGAGTACACTTAACTCCCAACTATGAATAATAAAGTCTCTTCCTCTTGTTATTACCGAAGGACTGAACAAGGCAAAGATTATAGACAATTTCCTGGACAGTATACAGGCAATCAAAAAATCATTAGCTAGTTACCCAAAAGGTCTCAACAGTCCAGACTTTATTCTAACACTGCATTTTTCGTTCAATCCAAACAAATGCAGTTTACTATGATGTCCTCTCCAGCCCTGTGGGTCTCCCCTCCTTCCTGAAGTCTTCACACCGACTCACCTGGGCCAACTGATCTTCAGCCAAGACAGTTCCTCGTTCCTTATACTTGGCCTGCACAGAAAAAAACCCGTATGAGTTTAGCGTGGGTACTGAAGGCGGCGACTGGTGCAACTACCGCTCAAGTTTGAAGGAGTGTCTCTATCTCAAACAGTTTTTTTTAAGAAGAGGTAGGATGGACCATGAGCCTCTAATCAAATACAGGAAAAGTGAGGGGGAAAGATTTCTGAATTTCAGAGATGCTGAATCCCAAGTGACCGGGAGCTGGAGAAGCCTGTCTTGGGCTTTGGTGGGAAGTGGCTTCAGGTTGCAGAGCTCTGCTCCGAGGAAATTCAGTCTTCGTGGGTAAAAAGTGAGCTGCTGATTGCGTCCCTTTTACTCACCTCAGCAAGTTTCTTCTTGGCGATGGCGCCGGCTCCAACCCCGCGGCGATGCATCCCGGCCCTGGGCCCCCGGGCCGCCGGCTACCGGGAACCCGGGTATCCGCGTCCCGGGATCCGCCGGCGGCTCCCCAACGCGGAAACCCGGACCGACGTCATCTACTCGCGCCGGAAGCTACGCGCCGACTTCCTGCCGCTGGGCTGGAGGTCTCCTAGTGTGTATGGCTGGATACTGCCCTTTTTGCAAATTACCAAACTCCTCAAATTCTAAAGGCTGAGAAGGTGCAGATAACAGTGTTCATTCCAGCTTGTTGCGAACTCGGAGCTCTCGGTACTGTTGTATTGACCCGTTCATCTCACCTGCTTGGTCACCTCGCACTCTCGGTCACTGAAAATCCTCTACTGAACATAAACTAGAACCAAAATAAATATTTTAACCCAGAATCTCTGACAGTTAGGAAAAGAACAGCAAGCAAAACCTCTAGTCTCCAGAAGAAAGAAAATTTTTTAAAAAATGAATCAAGACTAGCAGTTGTTTCTTTAAAAGGATTAATAAATCGGCAAGCCCTTTGCAAATTAACAAATGAAAAGAAGAAAGCATACCTGGAAGAAATAAAATGAGTGATGTCACAAGAGAAGCAACACCAACTGAAATTAAAAAGATAATTTCAGAATAATAGGAGTGGTATCCACTTCCTAAACAACGTGCTTCTGGAAACTATGAACTTTAATAAATGTCGATAGTTATAAAGAACTTCAGTCCTTTTGTTCATAAGGTCGCTATGAGTCATGCTCCACTTGATGGCAATCAGCAACAAGGAAGAGTCATACTCCAACAAATTTAAAATCTAGAGGAATTGAAGGAGTTCTGGTGGCAGAGTGGTTCAGTGATTAAACCTGCCAACTCAAAGGCATAATATTCTATTCTACCAGCTGCTCCATGGAAAAAAGATGGACAGTTTCCTCCTGAGTGACTTACTGCCTCAGAAAACCCGCTGGAGGGTCAGCTATGAACTGGCTCTGACTTGGCAGAACACTGCAAGTATATGGCCAATCTTTAGGGACATCATGCTTGCAAAGGTGGAGGGTTGGTGATAGATTGGCACCATAACTGCAGCACTGGGGAGGGGGATGGGAAGAGGAGGGAGGGAAATGTGCAACAATGAGTGAATGAAAATCCAAATATTCTGTAGTCTTTAATTAAAATGCCAATAAAATAAAGGGTGTGGTGTGTTGGGTTTGTTGTGGGGTTGTTTTTTTTAAAAGCCATACCATTTAAAATAGCCAACCACAAGATGACATACTTCAGAATAAACCAAACTTCTTCTTCTTCTTCTTGTTATGTGCCATTGAGTCGCTTGCAACTCATAGTGACCCTATGTACAAGAGCCCTAAATGCCATTCTATCCTGTGCAAACCAAACTGTTGTTGTTGTTATGTGCTGTCGAGTCGTTTCCGACTCATAGTGACCCTATGCACAACAGCCCTAAACACTGCTCTATCCTGCGCCAACCGCACCGCCTCTGACACACCCATCCCGATTACCCCAGTCACCAAATCAATCCATCTCATAGAGGGTCTTCCCCTCCTGCG